TTTACACTACGGTTAAAGGATTTTTTAAATAAAACTTAAATCTATTAAATATACATATATATATTTATATAGTGAAATGGTTACTACTATGAAACTAATCAACATTATCCCCTCACATAGCCACCATTTTTTGCGTGTACCTGAAGTCTACTTCCTTAGCGTATTTCCAGTGTTTGGTACAGTAATAAGTATAGTCACCGTGCCTGTAAATTAGATCTCTAAACTTATTCATCCGACACAGCTCCAACTTTGTGCCCTGTGGCCAACATCTCCCCTCTTCCCGCACCAGCCCAGCTCTTGGTAACCACTGTTCTAGTCTCTGCTTCTCTAACTTTGATTTAAGATTCCACGTAGCATTTTTTCACTGCGAGGTAATATCTCATGGTGGTTTCGGTTTGTATTTCCCTGGTTATTAGTGGTGTTGAGTATCTTTTCATATACCTGTTGGCTATTCATTTGTCTTCGTTGGAAAAATGTCTACTCAGTTCCTACCCAGTATTATTGAATTAGATTGGTGTGAGGTTTTGTTTTGTTTTGGGTGGTTTTGTTTGCTTTTGCTGTTGAGTGAGTTCTTTATATATTTTGGATATGAACCGTTTATCAGATATATGATTTGCAAATATTTTCTCCCATCTGGTCGGATGCCCTTTCAGTTTGGTGGTGGCTTCCATTGCTGTACAGACGCTTTTTAGTCTCACTTATTTTTGCTTTTGTTGCCTCTGCTTTTGTTATCAGATCCCAAAAATCATCGCTAAGACCAGTGTCAAGGACTTTACTCCATATTTTTCTTCCAGGAGTTTTGTAGTTTTGGTCTTAAATTTAAGTCTAATTCGTTTTTAGTTGATTGTGCATATGGTATAAGATGCGGCTCCCGTTCCATTTTTTTTTTTGCATATGGCTGTCCAGTTTTCCCAACACCATTACAGAGGAAACTATCCTTTCTCCATTGTATATTCCTAGCTCCTTTGTCATAAAATAATTGACCTCATTATGCATTAATTTATTTCTGGATTCTCTGCTCTGTTCCATTGATCTATGTGTCTGTTTTATACCGATATGATTGTTGTTTTATTACTACAGCATTGTAAAATATTTTGAAATTAGGAAGTGTGGTGCTTCCCACTTGGTTCTTCTATCTCAAGATTGCTTTGGGGTCTTTTTAGTTCTATACAAATTTGAGGGATAATTTGTCTATTCCTGTGAAAAATGCCTTTGGAATTTTGATAGGGCTATCACTGAATCACTAGATTACTTTTGATAATATGGATATTTTAATTAATATTAATTCTTCCAATCCATTAGCATGGGATATCTTTTCATTTATTTGTGTCTTCTTCAGTTTCTTTCATCAGTGTCTTATAGTTCTTATTGTACAGATCTTTCACCTCTTGGTTAAATTTAAGTATTTTATTCTTTTTGATGCAATTATAAATGGGTTGTTTTCTTAATTTCTCTTTCTGATAGTTCATTGCTAGCATATAGAAATGCAACTGATTTTGTATATTGATTTTGTAACTTATAGTTTTATTTATTTCACTTATTCTAACAGGTTTTGTCGGAGTCTTCAGGGTTTTCTATAATACTATGTCATCTACAAATAGAAACGATTTTATTTCTTTCTGTATTGGATGCTTTTTATTTCTTTTCCTTGCCTAATCGCTCTGACCAGAACTTCCAATACTATGTTAAATAAAATTGGCAAGAGTGGGCATACTTGTCTTGTTCTCGATCCCTGACGAAAAGCTGTTAGCTTTTCAATAAACCATTCATTGTTAATGACATAAAATACTAGGACAAACTTCAAATAAAACAGACAATGGTCTGCAGCAACTTTTCGTCTGCTGTTCAAAACTGTTTTCCTTGTATGCTGCCTTCATTGCCCTGTCCGCTTTCCGAGAGCTCAGCATCTTCCTGCTGTCCTGCTTGCCCTGAGCTGCTGACCAAAGCTATCCCAAGACTGTCCTGTTCTCAGCTAGTGGTCCTCAGACCTAGTCTTGTCTTGTCTTCTATCCCTAACAGCTCTTGCTGATTCTCCAGATTCCTCTCAACCTGAAGGCTCAGATCTGGTTCCCAAGTCCATCCTGCCTGAACCATAAAGCTATTAGGAATTTCAGTGTCTGTCCCCACCTTCCCCACCATCCTAACCATCACCACTAATCCCACCCAAAACGTGATGGCTGGCGGCACCATAGGGCATTTACAGCACGTCCCATGTTGCAGGCTCCGCCAGGTGCATTTTGAGATTGGGCCCATCTTCTAGCTGCTGAACGTGCCAGATGACCCGTGTACCCCTTCAGGTAATAGAACTTGCTTGTTTTTCTGAGCTCTGTTTTGGCAAATGCCTCGTATGCTGGTTCTGTCACAGAAATGGGGCTCAGCCATGCCAGGAACAAAGTTCTTCTCAAGGTCCCGGGCTGATGCCTGGTTTCTAATATCTGTGGATGCCTTTTGCATCCTGAGCTTTCTCAGCATTATCCAAGCAAATCCACCATCACTGTGCCCCTTACTGTAGAATTTTCATTGCCAGCTACTTCTAAGGTACTAGTCAGTCCCTATCACAAGGAGAATTTCCCTGTTCCTACCAGAACCAGTAAGTATGAGAGTCCTTGGTCTATGTCTCATCTTATTAGGAGTTAATTGGGCAAAATCTATCCAATCTAAGAAATGGCAGCTTCACACAAGTTCACCTCACCGACCTCACACTGAAGAGCTGATGACTTGAGAATGGGTTGGCCTCCTGCCCGCCTTCGGAAGAACTGCCGGCATAACCTAGGAATGCAGTTTCAATGGCAGCGTCATTGAGGAGGATTTGGGGATTTTCAGCACTCTTGAATGATTGCACACAACGCTCATCTCAGTTACAAGTGAAATAATCCCTTTCTCCCTAATTTATATAAGATCAAGGAGGAAAGCTGGGACGCTCAATGGCCCTTCCGCAGGAAAATTGAGAAATGAACAAAAGCTGAGCACAGTTCCCTTTAACAAGTGCCAGAAACAATCTTTCTGCCGGACCTCAAAAATTGCCATTATCCTTGGGTTCAAAAGCTGGTAGATATTGACCATCAGACAATCTGAGAGTCATGAAACTCAGGGAAATGTCTTATCAGAAAGGAAGTACACATATATATTTTCTTTGCGTTTTCCGAAAAGTTGCATTTTCTTTTTAATAATGACAGAAACAAAATAAGGCATTTAGAATTGAATCAAGCTGAGGTTAAGTACTCCCGAAATATAGAAATGTTTTTTTTTTGTTTGTAACTGGAAATTTCCCTTTTAAACTGACCCTGCCTGTAGTAGTTCAGTGTTCTCCACCCTTGTGGCTCCAATGCCTTACTTTTTATTGTAAATACTTGGTAATACTTCTACCATTCTAAAATAAGTTACACAGATAATATAACCCTCCTAAACTATTATATATATAATGCTCCAAGTGTAAATGCATGAGTAATGAAAGGGAAAGTTATCTATAATAAAATTATATGTTTTCAATGTGTAAATACGCAGACATTATCAAAGGAGACAACATGAGGCAGTCTGACTTTGGTGTCTATATCTAATATCTTCCTGAATACGACAACTACAAATATTATTTACAGGTGTATTATGTTATATTTTAACGTCGCAGACACTGTTGCTATCGATAATGTGATTGTTTTAAAGGAATGAACAACTCTTGGTAAAGTTCTGAAGAAAACAGTAAAATCTTTTCTCACTATCCGTGGTAGCTACATTTCTGGAAAAAAATTCAGACAATTAAAAACATACCAAGAAAATACCATGGGTTTATGAAAACTGAAGAAAACCTAACTGCTCTGATCATTATGAGCATATGTTTTACTTTGTCTGTCGTGCAGACATTTGTGGGCAGGGCAAGTCGTCCAGTCTTTGGCCCCAACCACCGAATGCTGGTGATGCTCTCTTACTATGGTGGTACCCAAAATGGCCTGTGCGGCCAGTATCGCCCCAGCTCCTGCGTGAGATTCATCTTCATAGCAATATGAGAGACAAAGTACAGGCAGATTGAAAATTTTAGTTTATTCTGTAAATATTGATGAATAAGGTATTTTATGTTATGGGATATTGCATTTCTCTGTTTTTGGTAATAGTTCTTACAGGTCCACAGAAATAGGCTTTTCATTATGATACATAATAATATAGAGAAAGTATAATTACCTGACATCAACATAGTTAAAATCTGGAAGACATTATAATATAATCTACAAGCTAACATATTATGATGGTAAGACATAGATATATAAGAAGAGATTGATGCGGTTATAAATTTTAAGATTTTAAAATATTTTACTGTTATTATTGTCCTACAAATTTTATGGGTGTTACAAATTTTCTTAAAGTACTTATGGATCTTAGAGATTTTCTTACAAATGTTATAGGTCGAAGTGGGGGGAAAAACTAAGAAAAATGGGAAAAGAAAACAAATAAGAAATAAAAAAAAATATAGCTTAAAAAAGAAGAAAGGACACATAAAAGAAAATGTAAAACAGGAAAGCATTTGGGAACATGTTTGTTCCTAGTTATACAGTATGTTGCTGCTTTTGCTTTCTCAAAATTAATTTCTATGACTCAGTAATTCTAGTGATCATGGAAACTCACAGGGATATTTCTTACTAATTTGATGAATTTGTGGATCCATATGGTATATAAACAAATGAAGAAAAATTTGAAAATCCTGAACATTTACCTTGCTGGAAAAAAAAGTTAATTTATTCAATTCTTCTATTCCTCTCATGAATTTCTTCAAGTTTTCTGAAGCATTAGATATGAAACTGGATCAGTTCCTCAAAAAGTTTTGAGATTATGAAACTTTGAGGGAAATAAAAATACGGGCAGAAGGGGAAAAACACACGCACAAGCCTATTTATCCATTTTAGCAGCCTAATCTCGTAATTTAATGATTTTTCTACATATTTCTCAAAAGTTCTGTTTTAAAGATAGCATTTTCATTTATTTAAAGACACATAACTTTAAGAGTTGAAGGGAACTTTAAGGATTACAGTATCACTTTATGTCTTTAAGGAACATCTCAATTAACTGTGAACCTGAACCTCTAGAAATTCTTCAGAAATAGAAAAGGAAAAAATTTTAATCACTCCCCTTGGGAACTTACTTGAATGCCTAGAAGCGTATTGGTCAGGAATAGTCTCTCTTACACCCTAACCATTATTTAGATAATGTTCAGTAAATTTTAAAGTGATTTTGGAGATATTGAGGGAGTTGATCCAAGTCCTTAAACTTGACCTTTCAAAGGATAAATCTAGATAACCTCATTGTAACGGAAGGCCAGGAGGAGTTCCGTTTCTCCTGGTTTAGATAAGTGACTTCCTACTGAAGTTATGATCACCTAGAAAAGCTTCTTACTGCCTTCCCCCTTACTGTTTTTTTGTCAGAGTGTGAGTTGCAATGGCATCTTATCTGGTTAGCAAAATAGAGTTTGTGGCTTTGGAATTGGGGCCAGAATTAATTTTACCTAAGGTTTTACGTGGAATGAAAAGAGCTACAGGGCTGAGCACGGTTGAAAGCCTAAGAAAAGACCATATTTTCAAACTGAGGAAACTAAAATAAGCTCGTAAAATTCAGAAACCATGAGACCCATGGTACTTGGATGGGCCAGGCAGACATTTTGTATCGGAAGATAATGTAGTATTGCAACTCCAGGTGGATTGAGCATCACCAGTTTTTGTGTGGGTGCTCTTTAGACATAGTAGGGATTAAATAAGGACTGGAATGCTCTGGCATTTTATAGTCCTTTTGTTTGGCTGCATCAGGGTATGGTTTTAATCCAGTAACGAAGTAGCATTCCTACCACCCTGGACCCATTTTCACTCCCAGTATAAAAGAAGTAAATCTGAAGACTCTATTTTGTGACTAACGGCACAGAAGACAAGTCCATAGGTCAATTATCTTTTGTTTAAACCAATGGCTCCCCCCAAGAACAAAGAGCAGCAAATCAAAGCAGCTAATCGCTGTTACACTCAAGAAGATTTCATTATAAAATGCAACGTTACAGTCACTTGAGTGTGCCACGGTGTACAAGTAGTAGATCCTAAAGCACTGATAGGGAAGGAAGCAGATAACAATGACCCCTATAAAAAACAGGTTTTTCAGCTGGGCCCAGAACTCTTGGTGGGACAGCAAGGAGTGGCGTAGCTTCCTCACCATCTTCATGATGATGAAGATCTGGAAGACCAGGAGGATCACCGCAATGGCTATGACAGTGCTGACGATCAAGTAGTTGATGACTCGCACAGAGGGGTAGACAAGCTCTCTGTGGAACTTGAAGCAGTGTTGCTCTTCATACTTCGCGGAGCTTCCGTACTGAGAGACGATCAGGGGCACCACGATGACGACCACCAGCAGCCACATGCCCGTGCTGGCGGCCACAGCATGCAGCTTTCTGTAGAATTCCACTTTGTCCTTGCGCTTAAAGAAAATGAGGTACCTGATGACCAGGATCACCACGTAGAACAGGAACGTGAGGTACATGTGGATGTGCAGCATGGCGCTCACGAATTTACAGAAGGACAACCCAAATGTCCAGGTGTGCCGGATGAGGTAGGTCAAGCGAAAAGGCACCGTCAGCAGG